AAAACATTGATGTCAAATAAATATGCATCCTCATTCACCCTGGAGCATCACGTTTAAATAACCAGCAGTAATCAGACATCATGCTGAGGTCCTCCTTCCTTGATACCTCCTTTCCATTTCTTTTATGTCTTGATGAAACCTTTCCTCTTGTTTCGCTAACGGCACCGAGATTTTCAGAGAAATACTCAATAAGTGAGTGTAAGAAATGAACTTTCAAGCTCATATTACAACTCAACTCATTGATTTTATCAAGCATGTTATTGACAGTATTTTCGTAATTTGGGTCCTTGTTGCTTCCTAAAAATTTGTCAATAACATCTTTAAAGATAATCCACGTTTCTTTTTCAAACTTCCTCATTGTCCTTTTGAACTGTTCATCCGAAATCAATTTCCTAATCTGAAGCCCCCAAAAAATCCGTCCTTTAAGTTTCGCTTCTGAAAGAGCTGGGAATTTCCCAGATAGATACTTGAAACATTTGCCATCGTTGTCTAAGGCCTATACAAACTGCTTCATTAAGCCAATTTTATGTGAAATGGAGGTAATAGGACTTTCTTTGTGTCAACCAAACTTTCACGTTCAATGTTTTGCGATCCTGGTATCAGGCTGACTCTGCATGGCCATTGCTTCTTTATCCAGTGCTGATTTTGTGCTCTGCTGTCCCATTCACACAAAAACATGGAACTTTATATAACCGGATTGTTGACCCAAGTACATACAAAATACTTTTAAGCCTCCACAAAGTAGCCAACCATATTCACTGTATTTGACCTTATTAAGAAGAAGTTCGAGACTTTCGTACGTTTCCTTCAAGTGAACCGAATAAGCAATAGGAACAGATGCATATATATTACCATTGTGTTACCTTTTATACTTCTTTTGGAGGAATCAATGAACAATCACCACTTACGAAAAGTATGGTATAAACTACTTCTCACGATTTCTGTACCAGTAAAATGATGCCCCTGGAGAAAGTAAGTTCTTAGCCCAAAATCTCTGAAAAATCTTTTGGAAGGCCCAAATCTCTCACCAAATTCAGAAATGAAAAAATGACACGTCATGCGGCCTGTTAACCATTTATATACTAGCGGTGTTATTTTTATGGTTCTAGAACGATCGATAAGACTCTCACGTCGCGATTTGGTCTAGTGATATCTATAGCCAGTGGTTGTCAACATTTTAAGCATAACAAAATGTGACCCGATTTCAATGAAAATGATTCACTTATATAAAAGCACACATGACATTTTTTGAAAAATCTGTACGTGATGAAGAAAAATAGATATCATTTTCGGATTCAGCGTACAGGAATTACTGTAGAACATGTAAAAATTTCAATACAATAAAACCATCGCAAGCCTGTGTTATTGGTTCAATACTGCTAGCAAACGAATAATTCCTCGGTTGTATTTTTTGTTCAATCTAAGAAATGTTTTAATAAACATGTAGCTTGTTCAGTGAGTTTGGTGCCATTTTAGAGATCATTGAGAGAGGATTAGCACTATTTTTAAACGTCTGTGTTTGATCTCAAACTAACGGAGAAAGTAATCTTCAACCTCTAATCCATATTTGTGTTTGTTTTCGTAATTCGTCAAGTGGCTCTGTGATTCGTGGTAACGTGCTTTACCTTGAGGTCCTTTTGAACGGTAATATGATATATAGTTTTTTTCTTGGATGGATCAACAATGGACCAATACTAATAATTACTGACCTAATGAGCAGCAGATAAAAATGACAAACTTAGACTTAGAACCGGTGTGTTTTCTCTATCCATGTCTTTGACAATCAGATCGTATAAATATGTATAAGTTAATGGACAGCAGCAATAGAAAATTGTTTATTCATTTATGAATGATTTTAAACGCAGTAGTTCCAGCGACTCCTAATATTATGTCAACGTGTCAGTCTTTTCGTTTGTAAACGTTGTGTGTACAAAATAAGAGCAGGTGTTTAGAAGGTTGAATAATTTCATATTTGAATTCAGAATTAGGAAGTGTATCGCAAAAATAATTTTTCAACGACAATGTTAAATATATTATTGCTGATTTTATATCGTTCGTTATTATTAAGGTCCACGTATTACATCTTACTGATTGGTTTATGTTTTTGCCTGTTATGACACTTGGTGTTAAGAGCTCACACAAAAGATGAATGAAATCCCTCCTAATCTATGTAAAATACATAGGAAGGGGACCTAAGTAGTAATTTGCGAGATTAGTTGCAATATTGATGGTAATTTCCTTACACTTTTCTTCGGGCTCATATGTCATTGGAGACCTTGTAACCATCAAAGTTGCAGACCACTAGCAATTTGGTTCATAAATAATTTAGAAAACAAGATGTTTTTGTTCAGACATGAGCTTCACCTGTGATTCAACGTTAAATTTTGAATGCAGTTTTCTTCTGGTATTAAATTTTCGCATACTCGGGTAACTGAGTCGAAAATATATGTTAATTTGTTTGAAAAGAAACTGTTATGATTAAAAGTATTGTGCTATTTAAATGTTAGTTTTGAAATTCATTTGAAATAAAAAGCAATTTATAAACTATTAGCTGTAAAGTATGTGAACTTACAACGCTAGAATCCGGGTTTCGATACCCGTGGTGGGCAGATCACAGATAGCCCTTTGTGTAGCTTTGAGCTTAACTACAAACACACAAACAGATTAGTCATAAATGATGTTTTATACATCATTGTCTTACGAGCCCATTTAAATATCCAAAGTATAGAAAGATAATCTAAAATGATAATAATTGGGTATAAATCTTATACTAACCACCAATATAGTTATCTTTTACACCTCTGATGAATCAGTATCTACATAACTAACAAATTCACACTGAAATTCAGGTCTGAAACTAATGTTTTCATGAATAGAAAAATTTGTCTTTTTTTCAAGATTTATAAAGAATCATCTTTCTGGTTTAAGAACCCATTGTATTTATAATTATTTTTTTAATATTGACTACATTTGTGTACAATTATCTTTACGTTTCTATTTATGTAGATTTGAAATTCATTCACTGACCAATTATTCTTCCAGCCTCATCCAATCATTTGAACAACGTTATTCTTCCAAACTCACCTAATGATTTGAGCAATGTCCAAAGCTTTTCTTCTAACCTCATCTAATGATTTGAGCAATGTCCAAAGCTATTCTTCTAGCCTCAGCTAATGATTTGAGCAATGTCCAAAGCTATTCTTCTAACCTCATCTAATGATTTGAGCAATGTCCAAAGTTATTCTTCTAACCTCATCTAATGATTTGACCAATGCTATTTTTTAACCTCAGCTAATGAATTGACCAACGTTATTCTCCATACTTTATCTAATAACTTGTTCTAAGTTATTCTTCAAACTCATATAACGACTTAACCAACGGTACTCTTCCAGTTTAATCCAACATTTTCTTATTTAACTTTGTACATAACAACAAAAATAATCTTGTTGATCCTCATATTCTTAATGTCCATAAATAGCTATTCGATGATGTTATAGGAGAAACCATTTTGTCTAAATGATTACTTGATAAGGTAGACTACATTTCAGTCATATTTTCTTAGTAGGTTACGTATTTCTCTTGCTTGCCTAGACAAATGTTCAAACCACACTAGGCATCTTTATGCTGCTGAATTAAGATACCCTATTACACCTCACAAGTCTCAACAGCATCACAGAACACCAACAGTTATTACAAGTAAAATTCTTCAGAAATACCTGATGATTACAAAACCTTGTCGAAACGTTGTACATTTGGCACCATATTAAATGTTTAATGAAATTTTCGTCATTACTGATTCAAACCGTTTCCAAACTTTACTTATTATTGTGCTCTGAAAGCGCAAGCGCAAATTGGATTGCCATATCTGATTTAAACAGGCATTGTTTCTTTGTTAAAACGTTTGACTAGAAAAAGGATGATAATAAAGATAACCCCAAAGATCATGTTACTCCCACCATGCTTTTTTTTTTGGTCGTGATGAAAGTAAAGCAAATAACCTAGGTCGCACGGATAATTACAAAAAATTGGGATAACTCACGCGTTACATAAATGCTAAAGACATTGCACAATCTACCATTCCAACGAGTATTTAGAAACTGGTTTGTTGTGAAATTGGCAATGAAATAGAAATTAGATTCCCACTCGCTTACCCCCCCCCCCCCCCCCAGTGGCACAGCGGTATGTCTGCGGACTTACAACGCTAGAATCCGGGTCTCGATACCCGTGATGGGAAGAGCACAGATAGCCCATTGTATAGCTTTGTGTTTAATTACAAACAAACACACTTTCTTTCAGTATTTGAAAAAAGAAATAAATGAGAGTTGCGCAGGTTTCGTTCTTTAGTACTTTATGATGTTTTTCAAATATAACAATTTCCTCGTGTCATAAAATCAAACAGTTACGTGTAATTTACATACATTCAGGCTCAAACTATATAATATTTGTCGCGCCTGTTTAAAAAATAGTCATCATTACTGTAAAAGCTGTAACTTGTATAAAAGAAAACAAATCATAATACTCTGATTTTCTTATGTTATTTCGTTTTTATTTTAAGAGTAATGACACATTTTCCAACAAACATACGAGAACTTCAAATAGCATTCTTGTCGAATTAAGTTTTACAATAAAGTACACTTCATGCATTGCATGAAGTTTAACAAAACATCTGGTATATTTTACTTTCACAAAGGCAGTAAATACCCAAAACACATATAATATTAATAACCCATTTACGTTATCCCTTACAATGTACAGTTTACATCTTTAATAAATCATCAACCATAAACCAATAGTCAACCGTTTGAAGCTTATTGAAACATATTGTTCGATATCTCACATTTAGCTTGAACTATACTTCTCAATATTAACAGACTTGGGTCATATAATTTAACTGCAGTATTCTTATGATTCCCAGTGCAGTTCTTTCTACAATAACACTCCATCTTATAGAGATTTAAATAAATTATCTACTAAACAAAGAGACAAGAGTATTCGAAGTTGAATAGATAAAAGTGCTTCAAATTAGTATTATCTCTATGAGATGGATCATTAGACGATTTATCTAATAATTACCAAACTGTAACTTATGAATAACATAACTTAGAATAACATAAGGTAGCATGGGGAGATGACTTGAAATTCTCTCATCTTAGTTTCACCAACTTACATTTTTCAGGATTCCTATGGACCGCCATAGTTTCACCAACTTACATTCTTCAGGATTCCTATGGACCGCCATAGTTTCACCAACTTACATTTTTCAGGATTCCTATGGACCGCCATAGTTTAACCAACTTACATTCTTCAGAATTCCTAAGGACCGCCATAGTTTCACCAAATTACATTCTTCAGGATTCCTAAGGACCGCCTTAGTTTCACCAACTTACATTCTTCAGGATTCCAAGGGACCGCCTTAGTTTAACCAACTTACATTCTTCAGGATTCCTAGGAACTCTGAAAAGAAAATGTAACACCTCTTACTTGTTACATAAATATTTTCTAAATAAAACACTCACTTCTTAGAATTACTTTCAACACTAATGTGTGATTTTCTAAGTTTTTTAAATCTTATACTTCAACTAATGTATTGGGAGCACAAGATCATATATTACCAGTTATTTTACACACTATTCTGTCAATAGCACGTCCCTAATTATATTACCATTACTTAGGTATGCCTTCAAAGCAGATTTGCCTATAATCACTTCCATCAAACAGTCCTGAAAGAAACATATTTTATGAGTTTATTCTGTGACTCATTTTATTATAATAAAGCATTTTACACCATACCTTCCCTGATATGAAAGCCAGAATATAGGGAGAATGTAAATTGTAGTAATGATTTTTACTTCTAAATTTGAATTTAATTGTTCTTTCCCTCATTATGTTATTACTATTAGCATAATTCATTGATGATATACTGAATTTCTGAATGTCACAATATTTATCTTAATTAGTTATTGTGTAGTACAAGTACAGAGGTATGGCTGAGTGATTCTGGTGTACTATAGTAAAGCACTAAAGGCCTACAGTAACCACGCCTATATGCTCTAACCTATCTGTCTAAAATAAATATTCTTTAGCTAATTCAACTAGATCAACTTACTTGTGAAATGTTTTTCCTGATGAACGTTTTGTCCCCGAAAAGCATTTGTACTGTTTGTACAACCGTAAGCCGCACAACTCAGCATTTTGTTAGAATAATAAATACACACGGAAATTAGTCGATGTTGATGTTTTAATCGTACCAAAAATGGTGAGATGCACACGTCACTATCTTCAGCAAATCAGACAGATTACAGTGTCAATACACGATCTAGTATTTTAGTATGTCTATGATCCAGCCCAACCACAAGTTCTGGTATTGAGCAGTGACTTGTGTGAGATAATAGGTAGATCTGAATATTATGCTGCATGCATAAATAGCTCTTCAGAGAATATTAGACGGTTTGCACCTTCCCATCCATACCTCCACAGTTAACTACATTTAGATTCTTCTCCTGGCCAAGGAGAGAGAGCGCAGCCCTCTGTTGGCCCACCAATTTTCATACTGGGACTGGAATGAAATGACATAAAAATGAATATTAGAATAATTCTATTATTTTACTATTCCTGAAACCTAATAAGCCTCCATTACATGTTGTTTCTTATTGCCCTATCAGTCTTACCAGTTTAGTTAGTAAAAACATGGAACATATTTTAGTTCAATGACTCCATTGATTTATTGTTGATCATCAACTCTTGCCATGTACTCAGGATTGGTTTCGTTCACAACTATCAACAATTAATCAGATTCTGAAATTATGGGGCGCTATCTCCAATCATTTTAACACTAGCAAGCCTATTTGTATATTATTTTTTATTTTGAATGAGCTTTTGACTCTTGTCTGAAACCGTGGTTTAATCTACAAAATACGGAACTTAATATTACCACTTACCAACATCCGAATTATCAACTCACTTCTGTGTGAAAGACGTGCACTCTCTCTCGATCCTTCAATGTTTCTGCTGGAGGTACTCAAGGCTCAGTTCTATCACGTCTTATACATGTTCTTTATGTTGCCGATATTTCTAACCCAAGGTATTCTGTTCATTATACCAATACGCCGATGGTACTGCTTTTGTGGCCACCTGTAACTCTCAATAAGTTTCTTCAGGCTGCAGTAAACACCATTTTGGCTTGGAGTCATCACGGGCGCCTTATCCTTACGCCATAAAAAAAAAGAGCGATACTCTTTTGTCCTGAAAAGAGAAAGATGTCCCCATGTAGCAACCATTTGTTATTTAATGTTTACATCAACACAACAACAACATTCCAATTCAACTTTATAACACTGTTAAATATCTAAGTGTCGTCTTCGATAAACTTGGAAAGTCTAGATTTCAGTTCATAATCACTAAGTCACTCAATGTCTCAATCTCTTACAATGCTTAATAGGAACCTCCTAGGAGTTTAAGTCTGCCACTTCCTTAACACATTTATAAGTCCTTTGATCATGTATCACATATCGTCATTCTGGAAGGTTTCTGCTTCCCATACCTTTTATACTCGTCTTCTAGTGTTGGAACGACATTACATTACCTAGTCCAAAAGGAGTTGTGTGATAGAAACACTTTTCTTCCTATACTTGTACGTCTACAAAAACTTCGAACTTAATATATTAGCTGATATTTTCTTTCTCAAAATATAATATTTTCTAATGTCCACAGCCAGAATATTCATCCTCCATAGAAACTCTTTCCGCCATCTTATCGTCTCTTAAACTTGTATGTTATGTCACTCTCAGTTGATGATCCTAATCATGTGGATATCCCAATCCAAATTTACATAGTTATATTTATCCAGGTAGCTGATGATTATTTTTATTTCTACCTTTCCCCAGTTTTTCTGTCTTTGAAAAGAAGTAAACTTAATTTCCAAATCATATCTTCCTTCACACGCCAGTCTTCTAGATTTCATACACTTACAAGTCCAATATACAGAACTGATACACTTACGAGTCCATTATGCATAATTCATACACTTACAAGTCAATTATGCACTAGCTATTGTAAGTTTCATCACATGTTTTGGCCAAAGAAAGCCCTTTGATTGCCTGCCATTTCTCCGGGCTAGAATGAAATGACAGGACAAAAAAAAAGAATATTTTGCCTCTCGTCTTCCAGCCTAACTGACGAGTATTGATAGCGTAAGAAATGCCTCTGTTGTAACATGATTCTGATTTTGAATCTGCAATGGATAAATTAAAAGGAATGTGCGGAAATATATCTGCAATTGAAGTGATTTTCATCAGAAATTTTAGGTCCGTTGATGTGAATATATTGTTGAAAATTCAGTTTTGTGTGATCCCTATAATCAGGTGAAAGACTGAGAAATATGACGTAACAATACTTAGAGTCTAAAGTTAACATAAAACGGTTATCCTGGAACTTTCGAGTAATAGTTGTGACAAGTATCATTGTGGCAAATTGTTAGTCAAAATGAAACAGTTCTCACGGAAGTTCAGTAGCAAAAGTACACTACAGAGAGTCTGGGGATATCAGGGTGCCACAGATATCCTCTGAATTTCCCCTTTACAATGGAAATCCTTAACCAAACTGCATGGGACTTACTAAAAACTTACTAAATAATATATAGTTTCGGCTATAAAAAAGTCAGCTAATTTGGTTTAGTATTGTTATAATTCTTTAGGTTGTAAAATTCCAAAATTTTGTAGTGAGACAACAAAAAAATTTCATTTCTACTTAGAATTTCATTTTTTTTTTAATTACTGACAATAAAGTTTCAATTTATATATACAGTCAGTTTCATTGTTTGAATACGATTAATGTAATGTTAATATTCAATAAATAACAAGCCCTAAAATACAAAATTCTCAATGGTGGAAAAAATTCTAAATTTCATTGCCACCTTTTTATGATATCGCAGGACTTGGTCTCAACAATTCAGTGTTTTCATCAAGCTTTATAGAAACTTAGTGCCGTGCATAAAAACCCTAGAAATTTGATTAATAATCCTGAAAAATGTGCTGAAGCTACTACGGTTTATTGACAAAATTTTATATGAATTTCGTGTTTTTTTTCTTTGTTTTACTACTAATTTTTTAAACTCAAAGCTGCACAATCGCCTATCTGAGCTGAGTTTTCATTACGGGGAATCGAACTCCGAATTTTACCGTTAGAGATTTTGAGCCTACCGACAAACCACCACGAGACTTCATTACTAGAAAAACCATATGGTCAATTTTTATTCTAAAAAATAAAAAAAGACCAATTGAAAAAATTTGATGAAAATTACATAGTATCATATCCAAAATAGCTGTTAAATCGTAACCAGTACAACCAGCTATTTTAGCCTTAGTTACAGGTGTGATCATGTATGTGCAGAAAATTTAGTTCTATGTGTGTTTTCTTATATCAAAGCTACATCGAGCTATCTGCAGTGTCCACCGAGGGGAATCGAACCCCTGATTTTAGCGTTGTAAATCCGAAGACTGTACCACCGGGGGACAAATTTAGTTTTCCTTTGAATTGAAAGAAGGAGCTAAATTCTTATAGAAATGTGTTTATCCATAAAGAAAATAAAACAAGATTAAAAAGTAGCAAACATAAAAAAGTTAACTAAATTGTAACTAGTAGCTGCTATTTGCCTACTCATAAAGAAAAAATAAAGTAACATGTTCTCCATGGCATTACAAATCAATAATAAAAAAAATCAAATTGTATTATTTAGATGTAGGAAACACGTGAATATCAGTGCATTCATTGGCAGTAATATTTGGTTTTACATGTTTGAACCTTTTCTTCATGTGAGCATCCATCTCATGAGCATGTGCTGGTACTTTTTCCCTTTTCGATCCGTAACAAACTGATTGTTTGTTGTTTTTAAATGTTGACGTTGCTAATCTGTTTCGTTTATTGATTACAGCTGCGTTTTGTATGAGATAATGAGGTAGAGATTTTTTCTTTATATTTGTTTAGAATCTCGACCATCTCGCCTACATTTCAGCGTAAGTAAAGGAAAAAAAAACAAACAAATCCTTGTCCCGCCTTTTAATTTTACTACCATTATTACCTACTTCAATGTCATGAGGGACATAAAAGATAAAACTCTTAAAGATATTAAGATAATCGTGACGCACCATGCACCGTAAGATAAAAAGGTAGGGCCGACTTTAAGGGTTTTCTTGATCATAACAAGACACGTGTCTTAACAGCTCTTTTCATGACCCATTCCTGCTCGCCAGAGATGACCTAATAACCACAAAAGAACATCAGCTTTCGTCAGTCTGTTGGATGAATATAATAAGAATTATTCGACCACGTCTCAAGATCAGAAGTAGTGATAATGAAAAAGTATGCATTACACGCAAGAAACAGACAGATTCTCAACCGAACAGGAAATTATGTTTTATATCAAATTAACTCCAACACAGTTAACCATGCTATTGTAAGAGTTATAACTTGGTGATGAACATTTTAAAGGATTACAACAAGCAGTAACATCTGTTTATCGGGTTTAAAATTGAAAGTGAAACCACTTGAGTGGTAAGTGTCGGGAAAAACATCGTATTAGTAGCAAATCCTGTGTGGGAACAGGATGTATTAGCTTACTCACGATATACTCTTCATGTCACCCGTCACGAATTGTTCCACTGTGTGAGTCGGAGGTTATAGGGTCAGACACGATTGTTCTTCTCGCCTTACTGTACAGTTTCGAAAAGTACTTCAAATCTTGCTTATACCACTCAGAACTTAAAGCCTACTTCGTGTCAGAAATCCGGTCTAAATTTCATCATCGTTCCAACGGCTAACACACACACACGATTGTCATCCGGTGACAAGAGAAATGAACAATCTAAAAGGGAAATTAGGCTAATCGGGTAAATACAATACAATGTAGATTTTGATAACACGCCGTAACCTATTCTCACTCAGCCAACAAATGTAAGACGGTCACGTACAACATCATCCTATGATAGAAAAAACAAAAAAAACTGGAAAATACTTTTGCTTTTCAGTGAACTATAACTGACATACGTATGCTTTATTTGGAATATCATTATTTGTTCCCAGTTATTTCATTACAATTCTTTTGAAAATATTTATTGTATTATACTACAGTAAGATATGTGAATTGATGTTACATATGCCAGCATTTATGACTTCCGTAATGTTTATAACAGTCACTACTGTCTGAAGCATCATTTGTTAGTCGTATAAATTTCATATACACGTGGCTTATTAATGTAACTAAAATAATAAGAACAATTTTTTCCGAGTTTAAATGGACCTATTAATACTAGTGAAATTTCAGTGTTTCGTCACTTTTTATCGTTTTAAACTTTATTAATAAAATTTACATGATTAAATATCTAAATATCGGTTGAATTCTGAATGTATGTTTCGTTCCTGAAAACCACATTATTTTGTACAATTTGCAGTAAACAAGACAGTAATTGCCAGTGGCGTAGGAAGCGGGGGATTCCCATATTTTTCAATCTGTTCCATTAAAAATGTATCAAAATTAGGAAAATCACTCTCAGCAAAAGCAGGAGAATGTGTAAATGTTAATCCAGAACACAAAACTTTCCAGGTCTTGCCTTAGGGCCCTAATGGGTGAACATATTCTCCCTTCGCTCGGTCAAATATACCTCTGACTCCTCATTTTTAATTTGCCCCCTACAGCTCTGTTAGTTGCTAATTTCAGTATATAATTAGTGAAAATCAATAAAACCGTTAAAAACATACAAAGACAAATTACTGTGGTAAATCTTATAACAACCCTCATTCCCTTTGTCTTTCGCAACGGATATAAAAACCGAATACTTTGAAAAGTTCTTACTTAAAATCATTGAGATGAATATTGTAAAATGAATGTACTTTTTTACAATAAAATTAATAAATGTAATAGAACTGTTGATCTCAGAATTTTCTTGCAAAACTACGTAAAGTGTTTTCTGCACATACCGCCTCTAATTTTGAACTGATATACTAGCGAAAAGGCAGCAATTCAATCCATCCTTAGGAGGACACCTTAAGGAAGATCGAAACATGTGGTGTGTATTTGAGAAGGTGGATCGGCCTCAAGCAACAGAATTTTATAGCGTAAACTAAAAATGGTTGTTATTTTAAATTATATTTACTTATTAAACTGCATTGTTTGCTAACAAGACGGATTAACACGTATACGCTCGTTTTAAGGTTTAAGAAACACTGTCAACTTTATTAATCCTATAATATTAACTCTTAAACCCAAATAATTCTCTGGTAATATAAATTTCAGTGATAATTCTCATTATGAATTCAAAGCCCTCCTTTCTGCCACTGTACATAAAACTTGTATTTTAGTTCTTAACATTTGATCTTTATTATTGCGACAACGGAAATCGTGTTTGTAAATGACGGATTATTTGGTTGCATTAAATTAGCCCCCCCCCCCCGTGGCACAGTGGCATATCTGCGGACTTACAACGCTAGAAACCGGGTTTCGATATCCATAATTGACAGAGCACAAATAACCCTTTGTGTAGCTTTGTGCTTAACTTCAGAAAAACAAAACAAAACTAAATATGAAAATTTCAAATCAAACATTATTTGGGCACAGCATGGCCAGGTGGTTAAGGAGCTCAACTCATAATCTGCCGGTCGAGGGTTCGAATCCACGTCCCACTAAACATGCTCGCCCTTTCAGCCGTGGGGGCGTTATAATGTGACGATCAATCCCACTATTCGTTGGTAAAAGAGTAGCCCAAGAGTTGACGGTGGGTGGTGATGACTAGCTGCCTTCCCTCTAGTCTTACACTGCTAAATTATGGACGGCTAGCGCAGATAGCCCTCGTGTAGCTTGCCGCGAAATTCAAAACAAACAAAGTATTAAATTAGATGATTCGTAAATTCATTGTCGTTCTGTATAATCTAAAATATTCCACATAGCAATTTAAGACAAAAATTATTCTAACAAAGGTGTTATTTCTTTTCTGAAATAATTTACAAAACTTAAATAGGTTTCAAGCATATTTTCTTTCAAAATTAAATTTGCACTTTTATTCAGTCAACAACGCTAAAACAAACAAACAACTTACAGTAGTCTCACCTCTCCCAGAACCACACTCATTTTCAGGTCTATCAGGCTGTTTTCTGGAAATGTAGCAACTAAAACCTTTGCTGAAATTCGAAAATAAACCTGGAAACGTAATTAGACTGTGATGAAGATATCATTCTGAACGTTGGAAGATAGTGATGCTACTTTTATCATGGTTACCTTTCTAACAGCCATATCCAAGATAACAATAGCTTTTATTTGTTAGTTTATATTTAAACATTGTTAAGAAGTTAGGTGTAAGGAACATCGGTTGGGGTTGAGAGAGGCTAGAAAGTGGTCTCTTAAGTATTAGGGAATTGCAGCACTCTAAGTCTTTAGAAAATTATTGGAGGGATCGGGCGCTTTTCTTGTTTAGCCGCTCGGAGGTTACAGAACCTCTTATGATCATGAGACGTTTTAATGCGACATAAGGGAAACTGGTGTGTTAGGTGCTGTTTTTAGAGAAAGGAATATATAAAGCACAGGCGTTTAATTAAGGTAAGGAGAAGAAAAAAACGAAGAGATGTAACGGAGAAAGAAAAGGAATAAATAATATGCTGCCAATAACAAACAAAACCTAGTTCGAAATATATGTGTTATTAATAAACAGCAAGATGTTATGTATATCAGCAGGAGTCAATAGGAATAAGGTGAAGGGAAAAGGAAGCACCATTGTAACAAGATGATGTCAGAAGCGGTCTACAACAACCACAAAGCAACACAATGGGTTATCTGTGTTGTGCCCACCACGGGTATTTAAACCTAGTTTTTAGCATTATAAGCCTTTATTGTGTGTGTGGGGATTGGTGGGTTGTTGGAGGGGATAATTGTTATCATTACTATCGCTGTTACCATTCCATAATGCGTTCGTGATCTTTACTCGACTATTAATTGTGTACTCACCATTCTATTACACATTTGGAAGATAGTAATAACCAGGTTACTGCAACTATAAATACTATTCTATTAGAAATTTAGAAGATATATCGTTACTAATGTCGTAGTTAGAATTCCGTTAAATATTTAAAAAAAAATAGCAATAATATGGTTATTGATATCGTTGTTATTCTATTATATTGTACGTTTGGAAGATTGTGACAACTTGGCCATTGCTTTTATTGTCATTGCATAATGCATTAGGAAGTTAATAATAACCTAGCTAATAATATTGTAGTTACCATTCCATTTGACATTCTATTAGGTATTCAAAAGATAGTAACTGATTGAAAATAAATACGTCGCTATCATTCTATTGTACATTTAGAAGATAGTAATGAAACGGTTGCTTGTTACCATTCTGTTAGCCATTCATAAGCTAGTAATAACTAACTAATGCTTTTGTTGTTTCCATTTATTTACACATTAGTAAAATATTAATAACTGCCTATTAAAGTAGGAGATCTTTTGTACTGGATGTCTGACAAAAAGTACCACGTGAACGCGCTATTCTAGTTTGTGTAAAAGTGCCAGAAAGTTGTTGTTTTCTCTGCATATCTCTTAATTTGTTCATTTCGTATGTCAAGCCAGAAGTGTTAAAAGTCGTATTTTAGACTTATCAGTTGTTTTCCACAAGTTACAAACAAGAAGGCTTTTCGTTCAGTAGTGAACGACGAGATACAAAAGGTTATCTGAAACATTATCTACATGTATATGTAGGTCTGACTATATGTCCTTTAGGTTATCTGAAACATTATCTACATGTATATGTAGGTCTGACTATATGTCCTTTAGGTTATCTGAAACATTATCTACATGTATATGTAGGTCTGACTATATGTCCTTTAGGTTATCTGAAACATTATCTACATGTATATGTAGTCTGACTATATGTCCTTCAGGTTATCTGAAACATTTTCTATATGTACATGTAGGTCTGACTATATGTCCTTCAGGTTATCTGAAACATTATCTATATGTATATGTAGGTCTGACTATATGTCCTTCACCCCTAATTGTGTTTCTATTACTTTCTACCACACTTCAAAGGCACACTCTCAGAGCACCTCTGGGAGTGACATGGTGGGATTGGCGTTAGGATTTGGCCCCCCGTGTTACTCATGAGGGACTACTATTTCTCGTTGTGAACGCTTTTTATACTTTCAGTCTATGATCGATCTGAAGCAAATTTGGAATGGCCTTAGGGCCTCTCCGGTGAGTGACGGGAGAGGGGGGAGTGGAGTCGCTGTTTGGATCTGCTCGCCTACGCCTCTATGTGTTCGCCGCACTATTCTATTTTTCTCTATCAAACTTCGAAGACACTCTTAGGACACCCATGGAAGGAACATGCGAGTTGACATTAGAATATGACCACCCATGTTAGTTCCTGAACCTCTATGTCTTCCTCGTGCGTCGAACAGGTACGTTACCTAGTTTATATATATGCGCGTTTAATGTTTAAACCGTTTCTTTGAAACTCTTAATCTTCATATAGAGAGAGATCTTACATTTTTTTGCACACCTCAGATTTTAGAGCTGAAATGAACCGACTGTAAATATGTATAACTGCAGTCTAAGTGAATATAGATTATTCATACCAACGTTTAAAAGTGAAAAATAGAATGTATAAATTATGTTTCAAAATTAGCTTAATTATCTAGTTTTGATCCGTTACATGGTGAATTCAGGTGTACCAAACGGGTGTGCGAATTTACTGACCTAGTCATATTTTGCTCTCAGTGAAAACGACATTTGTCAGAAGGTTCGCACAAGCTGATAGTGAGGAGCAAAACTGGTCCACTTTCGTCCATGAACCCAGTGAGTAAACCAAGGTCACATATGCTAGAGAAACCTTAGGATCCTGATCGGCTCGCAGTGACAATTTTTACAGTTTTAAAGAGTGTGTTACTTGAATAATTTAACGAGGTGTTAATACTTGTGTAATTTAACAATCTGTTCTCTGTTAGTACTCCCACGTACCGACGTTAGTTTTTGTCTTATGGTCCCTTGTTATGGAACAAAATCTTTATCACAATACATTTATCTAATAATAATGAAAATCCTAACTTTAACGGTACAATAACCAAAACGTAGCGGTAAGTTTGAAGGCGAACTCTAAAAACCAGGTTTCGATACCCGTGGTGGGCATAGCACAGATAGCTTATTGTGTAGCTTTGTGCTTAACTACAAACAAACAAACAAACAAAAGTTAATTGAATAAATGCCTTCAGTGAGTGTTATCCACTTTTAATGACACAAATAGTGTAGTTTTGCACACTAGTTTGCTTGTTTGTAGGTTCCAAGCGCAAAACTACACAATGGGCTCTCTGCGCTATGCTTACCGCGGGTATCGAATTTTAGCGTCATAAGCTCTGAAGCTAACCATTGAGTCATCTTGGATCTTTTTTTTTTTGTATGCGGCTACCATTTTATTTTGCATAAGCGAAATTTGCTCAGTTGTGTTTAGACACGCTCATAGTGAGCGAGAGTTGTTCAATTTAGTTATTGTCATGAACAAAAAGTGAGAGACGCTTAATAACTTCATATGCCTTCATGTCTCGTACTCACTGCCAACAGAACACTGTGCTCAGTAATCACAGAGCACAGGTCGTTAAGTTTACAAGGAAGTACTCTCTTCAAACGGTGAAAATCCTCGCCGAAAGTTGTTCAGTAGCTTTATGCGCCCAGTATATTACAATCGATTATATTGTTCAAGTATAGAGAGAGAGGCAACGATAAAATGCATAGGTGTCGGAAGCAAAATGAGTGTGTCTGGAGAGCCGAAGTAAAAAGTGAATCAAGATTGTCAGAAGTGCGAGCAGAAGTTAGAGAAGTTGGCAGTATACTCCCCCTCTGCCACCCCGCAAAAAAAAAAGTTTTGTAATTAGAGAAGCAGTTTGGACCAACTTTAATGCAGTGTGGGTGGTAAGATTTTTATTTATATTCTGTATTCACAGAAAAATTACTAAGGCTATCTACCGCCCTCTATAAATTTCAACTACTGACCAGAAAGAAGAAAACTGGTAAGTACCACAGTATACCACCAATCATCAATAATATGAGCTCGGTTTCGAACCCGAAATATGTGAAAATGTAAGCAGTTCAATGACGAACTTCTATTTATATTTTAGAATCCTTATCTTATCGAAGTTTTTCTCTCCTGCTACCAGATTCACTTTAAAATCTTCATCTGTTACAGCGAATTACTATTTTGAACCAAAACACACTTAAAGTTTGGGGAATTTTAAAGCTATCTAATTTATTAGGAGGGTCGAAATGGCTATTGCTCCCTGTAATACAGATGTAGGGGGATCCTGCTACTACTAAGGTTCTGAATTTTGATCCCTTTGCTTTGTTAACAAGCGCGACAAACGTTTGCTTATCATTAATCAATAACCTTCCTCATATGTTAGGTAAGGCATGTACGAATATTATAAAAACGAGCTATTATTGATTACTGATTTTGTGTTCGCACATGTAAGATGAAATGAGTCAATTCAAACGTAATTTACATGCAAATTTCAAGTGTTTTAGTTTAAACATAGATGAGCTAATTGTCGATGAATAGGTAAGTTGATTACGCTCGTTGTATCTCATGCAACGTATGCGGACGGAAACCATAAGTAACCACAAGATACCTCCAGTGTCGAATTATAAACCCGATATATTGAGGAAGTAGTTGCATAAGTATAATATATATATATAGCAAATATTTAAAAAAAATTGATAAATTTAAGTTGAATTTTATGGTACTCAAAAACACAGTATAGGAATATAATCGAGCATATAAGAACAAACCAGAATACTCCGATATCAAGAACACAATGTAGCTTTAAAATTAGTTGAATGGACGGCAACTGCCTGTTGTAGAAACACAAATATAGACGACGACGTTTCGTAAGTCTTCCGCCTTTCGTCTTCAATTTGTCAAAGAATACAATGTAGCTTGTCTCGATATGTGATTCCGCTGGAAGTGAACTTTAACCCAATATGTTATTATGGACGAATGACGAAGACTGGCTACCTAAAAAGAAAAACTAATGAAGAACGTGCAAAGACAACTGGTGGACATAGAAAACGGAAGATGGCGCGGCGCTAGTTTGGACATATAATTAGATCTGATGGACGGCTGACAGACATTCTGATGGGTAAAATCGAAGAAAGAAAATCAAGTGACAGGTAGAGACTCACTTAGATCTGTCCCCCAGTGGCAGAGCGGTATATTTGCGGACTTACAACGCTAGAAACCGGGTTTCGATACCCGCGGTGGGCAGAGCACAGATACCCCATTGTGTAGTTTTGTGCTTAACTTCAAACAAACAAACACACTTAGATCTCTGGCATTAGAAAATGGTTTGGAGATGAGAAGCTTGAACTATGAATGTTAGTGAAGACAGCGAGGGATAGAAAACCATAGTCGTTGATCCTCAGAGTTAACAAACGGCCGATCGAGATAATACTTGAGACTCCTAGCGACTAACAATATTACTTCAAGAAAAATAGAAATTCAGAGAGATAAGATCTGAAAAAGAAATGATTTGGCAATGGTTGGTAAATTGGTAGTTATGTTTTTTTATGAACATTTAAAATAATTCTAAATATTTAAATTTGTGATACGTTGTCTAGTTGTATAAAGACATTTGAGAGATTTGTTAATCACACGTTCGAGCTTTTTATTTTAAACTGACTTTTATAATACTGATTTCCTATTTTTTTTTTCTTATATAGATATTCTATTATAGTGCAGGGATTCTGTATAGACGCTTGATCTTCACCTTTTGTTTTGGCCTAGTTCAGGGTTTCTGACTAGATGTAGTCTTTCAGAAACCGGTTTAAAGTCGAGGAATGGGACAGAAGAGAAACATGAGATAAAGATAAAACGTTTAACATAGTATTTAACTCCAGAAACTGGGGAGGAAAATATCATGAGACATAAACATGTAAGATCAAGTTGTTTAAGTCTCTTGATATAATACCTTTATTAAAATTCTTCGTTGCACTAGAAAAGGTTGCAGGGTAATTTGATTTTATTTCTTGTAAATGCTTATATTCTTTCGATGCCTATTCTTTGCTATAGCGTCTGGCCTCACTTTTCCTATTTGACGGTTTTCTACATTTAACAGATGAGTTTGTTCTTTTTTTCAATGCTTTTCTGTCAGGTGTTTTTCTGTACTTAATTATTGAGTTTTTTTATGCTTGCCTATCTGGTGTTTTTGTTTAATTATTCAGAGATCTTAACCTATTCTCACATGACAACCTTTCCATCCCAGGTATTAACTTGTAGCTCTCATCTAAACTCTTTCTAACAATTTACTTAACTTTTCTAAGGGAAGGAGTCCGAGATTGAACACAGTACTTCAAATGTGACCTAACCAATGACCTTTAAAATAACATTATAACCCTTTTAAACTTTAAAATGTCTCCAGATACAACCTAAAATCGTATTTGTCTTGCCACTAGCAATAGCACATTGCTTGGATGGGTTAAAAGACTGATCAACCAGAACTCCAATATCTTTGTCTTGCATTAAAATGTTAAAGTTATTCATATCTAGATTATACTCGTTATTCAAATTGTGATATCCCACATGCATTACCTTATATATCTATTATAATTAAAAGCTATCTTTTATTTATTCACCCAACATATTAAATAATCCACAATCTTTAGTGAAGCAACAGCATCCTCCTCACAGCCAGCAACACCCAAAGCTTTAATGTTGTCAGCAAATTTAAACAATTTATTGACCATTCCTTGATATATCTCGTTGATGCAAACAAATAAGAGCAAACATTATTATTAAAGATGTGCTTTTGAGACGAGATTTGACTTTGGGCAATAACTGAGAACAATGTTCTTTGATAGATTCTTTAGGCAGACTATTGATGATGAGTACATTGAAATGGGCGGCAACTGGATATTGTAGAAAATGCACAAATGTAGAGGACGACGTTTCGAAAGTCTTTCGTCTTCGGGTCCAATTCTTGGAAGGCCGGTATGTTTTCATGACTGTGTGGTCAGATAACAAAAGTTTCGTCAATTTAGCGTTTATGAAAACTTGGTTTTATATGTGTGGATGAGAGGGCTTTTTCTTCAAAGTCTTCCATGTAAATGTCTACTAAGACTGGAGACTGAGTAGTGATTCCATGGCTAGACCGGCCGTTTGTTCATAGAATCCCTCGTTGTATTGAAAGTAACTGTAGGCAAATACAGTAAAAAGAGTAAACATATTATTTAGACTACAGTTTATGTTTCAATAAAAGTTGTGCATATAACATCAAATTATGTTTTTCAGTATTTTAAAACATGTAAACTGTTATCAGAATTTTATAAATTCTTTATTTCGTTACTATATGTATATTCACCATTAACGTATAACAGTGCCACGACGTTGTCACAACATATAATGAATGCATGACGT